AGATCCAGATCTTGCAGGGCATGTTCAGTCTCAGCCTGTCCTTTTAGAGCACTCACGACCCAAAAAGACATGTTCTCAAGTGTGCTTCTGTCTCCTCGAACAACAAGTAGGACCTTATCTAGTTGACTAATCGCTCAGAATTTTTCCAAGACGTGATGAGCCATCCCTGTGTGTCCTTTGTGGGTAGGTCTGGGTGTTTAAAGACCGTGTCTGCTGGCCTTAAAGCTGGCCTTGCTATTAGAAGGCCCCACAGGTGGGGATGCAAGATGGTGAGAAGTATTGTTTCCATTGTGGAAATGACTATATTTTCATATATGTCAGTGTCGCCGCACCATCTTTGCCCAGAGACCATTCTCTCAGTCTAAGTAACAACTCGGGAGAACAGGTATCCAGTAAGAAGAACTGGTAATCCAGGTGATCATTTGGATGGGAGAGAGAGCTGAAGGCATTTATCTAAATTAGATGCTGAAAAAAGAGGTATGCTGTGTAACCTAAAAAGACACCTCTCAGGCTCTGGCTGGTTTGGCTCAGCGGTTAGAGCGTCAGCCCCGCGGACCAGGGAAGACACCCCCAGGACATTTTTGTTCTGGCCCAGAACCAAAATGAATACCATGAGCCACCTGTTGCCTTCTGGGGCCTGTGGACATTCTGCTACAAGTCCTTATCTAGATACTCCAGGGAGCCTCAGTGTTTCTGGCACCCCTTGGAAATTTCCAGAAGCTACCAGATAGATCTAGTTTGGGTGGCCTTGCTGCTTGTCCCCTGCCCCCACAGCCCAGGGACTGGCGGCACCTGCTGAGGAGGTTGCTTGGCTATTTGTGCCATGGGATTGGTCAAGCACTGATCTTTTAGGCTCCAAACCAACCTTTACTAGTAGCCAGATATCCAAAGGAGGGGTCCTCGGCTCAAAGTCCACCATAAGATACCTAATTCTTTTTGTGATATGGCTTGGGGAGGGGGGGGTTGTCTCCATTGAATTCAACTCTTTCTGTTCTTTCTGATCAAAGTGGAATGATTATTTTGGTTCTCTTAATGTTTCTGATTCCCTATGGAATTTTAAGTTGGTTAAAATTCACATTGCCACCTAAAGCACTATCAGAAACACTTGTTCACTCAATGAGCTCTCATGTTTTACAAAGCATGGTTTTTCAGTTTACCAGGCAGTGAGTTAGCATGGACATGATTTCCCTGTGTTCGTGAAACAACTGCGGTGGCCGTGGCACTTGACTAGATTCAGGGTGAAATCTGAAGTCAACTTGAGGGCCCTCAGTCTCTGAGAGCGTACAGTCACTAAACTACACTTCACATCTCACTTAAAGGAGGAAAATAACATTATTTATATTAAGGGGCAGAGATTTGTCTTCCCCTCTCTTTCTCTGAACTTACAGTTCCCAGCTGGGTGTAGGAGTGCACCTTACAAGATTTGAGGCATGCTTTTCCATGGTGACTTACTTTGAAGGTCAGACTCACCCTCTGTATCCTTTGGGTACACTGCAATGGTTTTCATATTCTGCCAGAAATTGCTTTGACCTTGATCCCCCAAGGTCCACTTTTGGAAGGCAGCAGACACCTGTTTTTGTCACTTTGGTCACGGCGTCCAGCGTCTTTTCCAGATTAGTTCCACCATTTTAAAGTAGAGCCATTGTGCAGAATGGCTTCTAAATGATTAATTTGTGCCCTGGCCAGTTTGGCTCAGCGGTTCAATGCTGGTCAAGGGCGCGTACCTTGGTTGCAGTTAGTTCCCCGCCCTAGTCGGGTTGTGCGGGAGGCAACCGGTCAATGTGTCTCTTTCACACCGATGTTTCTCTCTCTCTACCTTCAACCCACTCTATCTGATGATAAAGAGAAAAACATCCTTGGGTGAGGATTAAATAATAATAATAATAATAATAATAATAAATGATCAGGTTGTCTCCAGGATTGATAATTTTATTTTTAACTGTAGTGAGGGTTAATGTGTATTATCTGTTTTAATGCTCTATCTTTCCTTCTCCTAAGCTTTTACCCGATACACTTGGTTAATTATGCAGAGTTTAGCTTCCTTTTGTGAAATCAGGGCTCACTTTTTCCTCCTGTTTTTGTGAGCACCTTCTAAATGATTTCTGTGTCTGTGGGCTCTGTTGCTGTGGGTAGTGATCTGAAGTGCACTCAGGTGAAGTCCCTGGGCAAGCCTGGTATAGGAAGGGCCAGCCCTGTTGCTACCTGGGAAAGAATAATGAACGATGCACTTGGGGGTTGTGGCTCCAGGATTTCACTTAAGTAAAAACACTTTGGTGGGATCCGCTCAATTAAATGGAACACTTCAAGAGGATTTGCTCAATTAAATGTGGGTGGCTTGGAAGAACTGTGTGTGTGTGTGAGAGAGAGAGCGAACAAAAGAGAGAATGATGTGCGTATTTAGCACAATGAGGATCTGCGATGGCCTATTAATAGGATGATTTGAAGCCAATCCCCCAAATTCATATATACCATTAGACTGCAGGGACTTTCCATGACTGTCTGTCTCCTGGTGTTAGAGGGTTGCATATTTTTCTCTCTTCTCTATTACGGTTCAGAAAGTCTAAAATCTTGGGAGCTGGACCTTAAGCAAGTTACTTAACCTCTCGAATCCATGACTTCCTTCTCTGTAAAATGGAGGCATAATAACTACAGGTTGCAATCATTAAATGAAATTTTCGGAAGGGAGAAGCGCATTGCCAAACCCATGTGAATGTAACTTTGCTCTGTTTAACATGCCCCTCCCCCTCCGTTTATCACTGCCCACTCACTAGGAGCCGCTTCAGATGTTGGAGGTTGGGGTGACCAAGAAAGAGAAGGCCCCTGTCCTGTAGGAGGTGACATTTCTCCTGGGAAGAGTCAGGTGAAAACAAGCCATTTCAGAGGATAATTTTTAGGTAGTAAAAAGTGTTACGAGTAAACCCTAATGAGGCTAGAGAGTGAAGACGTATAGCAACTTAGTGTTTGAAGATCTTTTCTGTAATGCTTCTTTTTTCAGCTGTTTTGTTCAACTTTTCCTCTTGTGAAATGTATCACAGAAGTATTCTTGTCTGTAGCTGACTCACTGTCACCTGGTGAATTGTTTCAGTGGGATGGGGTGTGGCTGTTAAAGGACCTGGCTGCCTATCAGAAAGCCCTGGCTCCTGCACTTTGTTGCCTCTCTTCTCTCCAATGGCGCGATTCAGTTTTTTCTTGTCCCTACAAAGTTGGAAAGAATCTCTCACATCCTAATTATTTCTTCTGATATTCTTTTAGGAACGCTTTCTTCCTCTGCAGTGTGCGTGAGCACTGACCTCTTCGAGGCTAGCTGCTAGAAGGCCTGTGGCTGGCCTGTCTCTGAGAGCCAGTCTCCCCACCATCCACTCTCTGTCTTTGTCTTCTTCTCCTGGCTGTGCCTGGGCTAGCATTCATTTGTCTTGTCGAGCTCCTTCTGGCCTGCCTGTATTCATTCCTTGCCAGTCCACTTACCCCACTGTTTGGGGTATATTTTCTTAGGTATACCTAGGCTCTGGCTTGTCACTCAGCTGCTGTGCAAGAGAAGACTCAACAAGAAACAAAACTGAGGAAAAGGAAATTGCCAGTCTCATCCTGGGGGACCCAGAGGCATGGCTGCAGTCACGGCTCTTTTCGCTTTCCTTAACTCCTCCTGCCCTCCCACCCCCACCCCACCCCCAGGGTCTTGCTCTTCCCTGGATGGAGCCCCAGGAAGCCAGGTCCTAGCAGGACCTCTTGAGAGGCTAGAGGCCCAGGTGAGCTGTGCTCTCCTTTGCCTGGCTTGGGGATCTATCACTATTCCCTGATCTGGCCTCAGCCTCACCTCTTGTCCCCCAGGATGACACAAAGCAGGGCCTGAACCTCAGCTGCTGCCTTCCTTCCCTCCATGTCTCCCTTCTTCCCTCTGCTTCTCTCCCTGGACTCGGCTAAGGAATGGATGCCCGCTGGGTTTGTAATCCCCATCATACCACTGGGGGAGCTAAATTTCAATCCAGGAAAGTGAACCAAGGTCCCTTGGGAGGCCAGTGCCATAGCCCAGGTCTCCTGGCACTTGGTCAGGTTCTCTTTCCAGGACTTCTTGACACTTGTGGTTAGATCTCCATGTTAGCAAGGTACACCCACTCTAAACCCTCACCTCATGTCCCTGGTGTTACTGGTGCTGCCTCTACCTTATTCTAGAATGCATGGATGAACTGATTATCCCTTTTTAATTCTTTCAGGATTCACTGACATTCAGCGACGTGGCACAGTACCTCACAAAAAGGGAGAGGTTGAGGCTGGACCCTGAGCAGAAGACACTGGCATATTACAGGAACGCGACTTCCTTGGGTAAGGACACCCCTAGCCCTTCCACCAGCTTCATGATCCTATGCGGCAGGAATGGGATGCGGAGGCTTGTGCTCCCCAGGAATGGGCTGTAAGAAAATACCATGGATCTGCCACACTTGACTTCTCGCAGAGCACCTCCGCAACTCCTAATGGCACAAAAAGATGCCCCTTAGTCTTTTATTGGAAAAGAAATTGGAACAAAGCGGCCACTATAATTTAGAATACTTTTTAAACACACAAATGATACAAACTGCGTGACCGTTTTATTATAGTTTAGTGCTGAGAGAGAGGTTGACAAGAGCGAGCTCCTGTGCACCATCCTGCTGCATGCGTGAGGTGGAAAGGTTCTTAGAAGAGGGACGCTGGGGTCAGGTGTGGAGTTGGGGAGAGCATGGAGTTCAGTGTGGGGCCCTGAGGGAGTGGATATGGAGAAAGGGAGGGTCAGCTCCTCAGGACGACCACCTGGCACTCCACCAGGGCGGGCCCAGAGCCTGTGGCATCCAGCCCCTGGAAGGAGCTACCCTTTGGGGAAGTCATTTGAAATGGATGAATGACTTCCTAAGGTCACAGCCAACCCAGACTTTGAGGATTAAAAAGGGTTCCCCTATGAAGGCCCTGCCTCATTCCTACACTGTTCATCTCTGGCTGCCACCATAATCCATTTCCTTTTCCATGAGCAGGAGCTCCTGTTTCGAATCCTGCCTTGGTCTCTCACCTGGTGCAAGGACACATGCTATTGATATCAGACCCTTAACACGGATCAAGCTAAGTATTCTGGTGAGTGAAAAGAATCATGAAGAAATGTGAGGAAATCATTGGGGAAGCCCAGATGAGCCTCTGGGGAGAGAGTGTGGTTGCTCCTCAGTCACAGAAGGGGAGACCTCCTCAGGACCACTTTGGTAGGAAGTGAGGTCAATCAGGCCCTTCTGCCCTTTCCCTCTATGGTCCTTGCTTCTGGTGGGATGGGCACCAGCTGTCCTGACCTGGTGGCCTCCAGGCCCAGTGCTCAGCAGCTGTCTCAGAAGGAAAGCAATTCTTTTTTTTTTTTTTTTTTTTTTTTTAATTTAGACAGAGTGGGAGGGAGAGAGAGGAAGAGAGAGAGAGGGAAACATCGATGTGAAAGGGACACATCGAGTGGCTGCCACCCACACGACCAACCAGGGCCGGGGACAAACTGCAACCGAGGTACATGCCCTTAGCGGGAACCGAACCCGGGTCTCTCCGGACCGCAGGTGGACGCTCTAACCGCTGAGCCAAACTGGCCAGGGCAGGAAAGCAATTCTTGACAAAGGAGAATAGCCTCCTTCCTTCCTCCTCTGCAGACTTCAGTGTCTTATGGTTCTCATTTCAGAAAACATCTTGGTGACCCAACACCAGACTATGGGTGAAGACGCCCAGCCTCAGGAGATGGCATCCACAAGCTCCCCGAGGGCAAGTGAGCCCAGCCCTGAGGTCAAACAGAATGGGGACTCTGAGGGGAGGGGGGGAAGCCCCCAAAATCTGCCAGTAGAACATCACTTTGCATGTAAAGAGTGTGGGGATGCCTTTCGGCTTAAGGTCCTCCTTGTGCAGCACCAGAGAATTCACAGTGAGGAGAAGGGCTGGGAGTGTGGCGATTGTGGGAAGGTTTTCAAGGGGGTCTCTGAGTTCAATGAGCACCGGAAGAGCCACGTGGCTGTAGAACCCCGCCCCGGCCCAAGCCGGGCCCTCGATGATGCCATGGAAAAGAGGGAGCAAATGGAGAGGGAGGCGAAGCCCTTCCAGTGTGAGGAATGTGGGAAAAGGTTTAAGAAGAACGCAGGCCTAAGTCAACATCTGCGTGTCCACAGCAGAGAGAAGCCCTTTGACTGTGCGGAATGTGGGCGGTCCTTCAAAGTGAACACCCACCTCTTTCGCCATCAGAAGCTTCATAATTCGGAAAAGCCCTTTGCCTGCAAGGCCTGTAGCAGGGATTTCCTGGATCGCCAGGAACTTCTCAAGCACCAGCGAATGCACACTGGCCACCTGCCTTTCGACTGTGACGACTGCGGCAAGTCCTTCCGAGGAGTCAATGGCCTGGCCGAGCACCAGCGCATCCACAGTGGGGCCAAGCCCTATGGGTGTCCCCACTGCGGCAAGCTGTTCCGGAGGAGCTCAGAGCTCACCAAGCATCGGCGAATTCACACCGGCGAGAAGCCATATGAGTGCGGCCAGTGCGGGAAGGCCTTCCGGCAGAGCTCCAGCCTCCTGGAGCACCAGCGCATCCACACCGGGGAGCGGCCCTACGCATGTGGCGACTGTGGCAAGGCCTTCCGGGGGCCCTCCGACCTGATTAAACACCGGCGGATTCACAGTGGACTGAAACCATATGAGTGTGACAAGTGCGGGAAGGCCTTCCGGAGGAGCTCGGGCCTGAGTCGCCATCGGAGAACCCACAGTGGAGCAAGACGCTGTGAGTGCAGTGAGTGTGGCCGTGTGTTCAAGAGGCGGTCAGCGCTGCAGAAGCATCAACCAACCCACCATGAGTAGATGAGGCCTGCAGGCCCTTGTCTGTCAGTGGGTCCCTGCCGCCCCCCCACCCACCTAGAGTGGGATGACAGAGTCAAAGGAGATGAACAGTTTTGTAGTGCTTATATATTTTATTGTCAGAAAGGTTAAAACCAATTTATACTGCCACCAGCAATTTATAAGTGTACATTTCCCATTTTGCCTCTCAAGAGTAGCTTTTAACATTTTAATTTATTTGGGCTAGTTTAGCTGGCATAAAATAACTTCAAGGTATTTAAATCTGCAGGCCTTGAATCTGAGAATGAGAGAAGAGAAACCTGGATGTGGGGTTGGAGGGGGGCTTGTTGGTCATCCCCTCTAAGCTCCCACCTCAGGGAAACACACACACAGCTTTTCAATGATGGCGTCAATATAATGTGAGCCCAACTTTCCTAAAGAAAAGATTGCCCCAAAGTCTTTTGGCCTACTTGAATCTATAAATTTTTAGGGATGTAAATAGAATACTCAAATGTGTTATAATATTTAATTTATTTAGTTATACATACATATTGTAAATCACATATTATATAGAATAATATATTACTTTAGAAAATACTCCTTTTTTCCACGTTCCATTTCATATCATTTTGTTCCAACTTCTCATATGCATTTCTGACCTCACCATCTTCACCAACCTGGGAGCCCCTTTTGAATCATTCGTTTCAAAGCACATCCAATGGTTTTCCATCCATTCGAGCTGTGTGCCATGTAGCACTGTGACAATCCCTGCACGAGGCTCTCACTAGAAATTTCCTCTCAAGCCATAAGTACATGTTCATGTAACATTAGGACAATTGTTTTTTGGTTTGTCCTGTAACTCTACAACATAACTACTTAGGGTGTTGCTTTTTTAAATTACCTTTAAAAGCTTTTTTAAAGCATCTAAAACTTGTTATTGTGAGGTCATACTCCTAGGTTAAATTTCTTTTGTGTCTTTTTTTCTGAAACTAATTCCATCTGGGGAGTCCCACACACAAAACTAGCATTGGTTGGGATTTGTTTCAGTCTAATGAGTCATCCTTACAAATATTTTGTTCAAAATTAAGTAGTTGAGAGAGCACCCCCATAGTAACAGGGACATGTCAAGGACTCAAGTGTAAAGTGACGCCTCCTTTTTGAGAATAATTGCCTCTCCTCATTTAGGACCTAGATGGTACTTCTCCAACCCTCCATTTCTGGCTCTGTAAAATGGGAGTGATCACAGGACTACCTCCTGAGGTTATGGTGAGGACTGTGACACCACACCTAGCATGGAGGGACACTCAGTGAAGGGCATCTGCTGTCATCGTCATAGTTATTGCTGTCATTCTATGGCTTACTAGTACCAGAACTGGGGATGGACCCAGGCCTCCTGACTCCTAGTCTCATCTTTCTCTCATGCGATGACTTAAATACTGTTCCTGTTTTCTTGCATGCAAATCGTATGTTCATCTCCTTTGACCAGTTATCAAGTTAGCTTTGGATATATTGACTTTATACAGAAGTTCTTTCTATATCGATTGTAATCTCTTTTTAAATTTTATTGCTTTGCTCTTTGTAGTAGTTTTATTACATTTTTTTGTGTGTTATACAGGCTTTTAATTTTTACATATCCAAGCATTCATTGTTGTCTGTTAAATCGTAATTTTCATTGGTTGAGTAGTTAGATATGACATTTTCTTCTAGAATTTTAATCACAAATGAAAAGTTGAAAGCCCTGCTCCACCAGAAGGTGAATGTTCCAAGTGGGCAGGCTGGATGGGAATGGGCCGGAGAAGCAGGCTCGCTCCTCATCCAAGATGCAGACTCCGTGCATGTCTGTAGGCAGTACTTGACTATCCAACCTGGCCACTCAGGCACGCAAGAGAACCTTCCATCACAGATTGGCCAGAACACTGACTGTTCCTCAGTATAGCCCTGGCCATCAGCAGCAGGGCCGGGCCTCACCTAGATCAATGGGGTGGTCCAAACTTGGTCTTGGCAACAGCCATACTTTGAGCTCCTGGGAGCCTTGGCCATGTCTGGCGTGGATTCAGTGCCTCAGCAGCAGATCCAACCAAGAGACATCTCCAACAAGAGAAGACTCAACGATGATGTCATGTGAATCGCATCCTCCTCTTAGTGACTCTGGAACAAGAAAGAGGTCGGTTTGGTGGCTTCTACTTTTGGCAACTAGGGGGAAATTAACCCACGTGTTCTGGTGATGTCACCTCCTGCAGCCACACCTAAGAGGAGCAACAGAACAAAGGCTCAGAAAAACCATGCCCCTCTGATGGCCTGCATGTCATGGTGATAAAAGCTAGCCACACCACGCCTGGGCTGTGACTTACAGCAGGTGTGCCCAGGGGGGCAATAAAACAAGGGTTTGGTGGGCAATAATGCCCTTCTGATGGCCCGCGTGGCATAGAAATAGAAGCTGGTCATTCTGGGGCTCAGCTGTTACTTCCAGCAGCCTCCCCCAGAAAGAACAGCAGCAAGGGCTGGCCAGGAGCCTGGCCCCTCCAGCGGAGCCCACAGGTAGAAGCCAGCCACACTGGGGCTGTGGTGTGACTTCCCAGCAGCCGTGCCTGGGGTCGGGGTGGGGAGGGGGGGTGGTACTAGACGGCCTGGAGAGGAAGTGTGCCCTTCTGATGGGCCCACTGAGGCTGAGGCTGAACTCCCCAAAAACTCCCATCCTGGGAAGCAAGGTCCCACAATGACCCCTGTGACCTTAGCCAGAAGGTAACCTGGAATGGCCTCCAGGCCACACCAGTGGCTCTCTGCGACATCTCCATCCTGAGCCCCAGGCTGGAGAACCGCTGACAGCACTTGTTACATAGCAATTCCTTGTGCTCTGTGGGCTTCAATTCTTGCAGTAGTCGTGAATCTGTGTCTGAGATCGCTACTTCCTTCTCTCAGCAGTTTTTCTCTTTTCACGCTGTTATGACATGTTTGATTCGAGTGTCATTTGGTAAGGAATGGTGACGTCCACGAGAGGGGGACAAGTCTGGCACCTGTACCTGCAAGTACTGTGCCGTTTCTTGCCCATTCACTAGGCATTTGTCGGGTTTTATGAAGGATCCACATGCAGTATTAACTCAGAACCTAGCATCATCATCAAGGGCCTCGTTTCCCCCAGCTGGGATACAGTGTGCTGGCATCTCGTTACACCCTTCTTCACTTTTTTCTCTTCCCAGTTGCATAATTTTCTCTCGGATAAACCATTTTTCAGAGTTAACACTAAAGACCCGCATCTTTTCCATCACTGTGTTTGCAGGTGAAGTCTGTACTCCAAACACGGTCAGTCTGTGGCTTCCATGTGTGTCCTGTAGTTGCACTGAGTTCTGTTTTTGCCTCTGGTAACTCGGGAGTGGATTTCCTGGGATTCTCTAAGTATACTGCTACGTCAGATGCAAAATGGGATCAAGCTTTCTGTTGTGTGTGCTTGTCTATGCATTGGTGTATCTACCTCATTTCATTTGTCTTTCTAATCACATGAACGTTTTGCAAGGGAAACAAAGAGCTGTTGGGTTACACTGAATGCTGGCTCTCATTAGAAATATATCCTTTTCTTATATTCTGAAAGGAACCCTCTATTGCTTTTATTAAAGTTTTGAATACTTGCTGAATTTTTCAAAAATAAGTACTTGTTTACCATTTTTGCTGCTTGAGATTAACTGTGTTGGTTAGTTGTGTCATACCCACTCTCAAATTTCCAGAATGAGCCCGACCTGATCACAGTGGGCATCCTTCTCATGTGGTGGTGCATTCCAAGTGCCCCTGGCTTGGGCCCCGTTGTGTGCCCTGTGACCCCCACCCCCCCTTCTAGTCCACATTAATTAAACCACAACTGACCACCTGACTCAAGGGCAGCAACTGTTCATCAGAGCTGGCTGGAGATGACGGGCCAGGACTTTCAGGTTCTACGAACAAGGAAACTAAGAAGTTACTAGTTGGTGTTGGAAGAAAGAGGAAGCCTGTGATATTTAGAGGAGGTGGATGGCACTGGCTTGAAGGCCTATGGTTTCCTGCTCGGTGCCCCAGAGCTGCCTCAATCCCAGCACCCCGAGGAAGCCTGGTCTCATGTTCTTGGATTTCTGAGGACTGCCCTCCACCACAGACTTCCTTAACTTGAAGCAGCTTGAGTGGGTCTCTGCTTCTTTGCAGTCTGTCAAGAACCAGTTTATCCTTTGGCTACTTCCTGAGACGCATCAGTGGCTGGCTTTCTTTGTGTTCTACCTGGCCCGAGTTCCTGGCCCAAGTCCCACCTGACTATAGTAAACACCCATTTAAATGTGGTACTGTATTCTGTTTGCTAAGATGGGTTTAAAAATCTATGCCTTCTAGTATCAGTGAGTTTGACCAATACTTTTCTGTCTGGGTATCATTCCTGCACTGACCCCAAGTTTGCCCCACTGATCAAGCTCTTAACTTTGGAGGTGTCTTCCTACTTCCAGCAAATCCATCAGATGAGGATTTGATAACTTCTCTATTACTATGTATATTTACATTCTGTAATTGCCATTGTATCATTTTGGGTGTTTACTTTCAAAAGTAGAAATGGTCTATTTAAACTTGGTCTTCAACAGTATTTGCATATCTGAGGACAGTAGCTATGTCCTGCCCCAGTTCTTATTTCTGTTATTGGCACTCCTTCCTCCTTCCTCCCAATCTCCTTAACTTCTCTGTTTTATGGCACTTACCTATAATCAGCCTTGCACTAGAGCTTCACTCTCCCTGCCCTACCCCACCCATTAGATTGTGCACTCTTAGAAGACAGGGGTGGTCCTTAATGTCTGATTCCCCCACCAGATCTAGCACAGTGCCTTGCATCAAGTAGATTTCAATAAATATATGTTAAATGATTTTGGTCTCCTCGACTTATTTCGTCAAAGCTTAGTTTATCGTTCTCGCCATGCCTTTCTCCATGCTCTGGAGTCCTCTCCCATCCTGGGGTCTAGGTGCTGTCTTGGCTTCCACTTTCTGGACACTCAGAGGGGAGAGGAGGTGCCCTGGTGAGGGAGGGCTAGTTTTTCTGGAAGTTTGAGCTCCCTCTTGGCAGAAGGGGTCTGTCATTCAGCCAGGTGCTTCCCCCCCCCCCCATCCCCCGGCTAGGGCTCTCCCTGGAGTCTGAATTCCAGGTGGGAACAAAAGACCACACTGGGCCCTGAGCTCCTCCCCCAGGGACCAGGAATGGGGTGACAGAAATGGCTTCTGAAACACGAGAATTGGCCCGCCTCTCTGGGCTGAATGGGGGCAGCAGTGGGGAGATCAGTCCTCTTGGTGGCCAGTGGCTGGCCTTCTCTCTAATGACCATTATCTCATAAAAGGCAGGTAATGAGAGGGCTCTGGCTTCCTGACCCTCCCAAGTGTAAAGAGTTCTGCTGCGGAGTCAGTGATCTTGTCCTGGAAGGACAAGTACAGAGTGGGCTCCAGGAGTGCTTGGT